AACTATACAAGGTTTTGTATCTGTACGCCATAAAGAAAAAGGTAATAAATAATTATAATATATATATATTATATATAAGTTTTAAATATATTAAATTTATAATTTCGTAGGATCATGGTTTATACAAGAATTTTGTAATATTTTACAAAATGGAAAAAATAAAATTACATTTTTAAAAGCTGTTTCAAAAACAATTGATTCAGTAGAGAAAAAAAGAGGAGTATTAAATGGAATAAATTTCGTTGCTCAGTTACCTGAAATAAAGTCATGTCGATTATCTTCGGATTTTCAATTTCCAGAATATCAAGCACAAGTACAAAAAAATAAAAAATAATATTTTCAATATAAAATATAATATAATAAAGTATTATAGTGTAAGTAATATATATTTAACAAAATTTTTTTGTATAGTTAATAAAAATTTCTGTCATCTAATTTATGCTTTCCGTATTTCTTCTTGCATATGCATCTGTTAGAATTCGAATAACAAAAAAATAAATAATTTCAAAAATGAACATGAAACTAAAACCAGCGAATATCCCTAACAGACCGCCATATGTTGCTAAAAAAAACATTAATATTGTTAAGTGTTGTTGTTATTAATAATAATATTATTATTATTATTATTATTATCACTAATATTAATATTCTATTTTAATTCAAATTCATTATTCATTATTTTAAAAAATAATTAATATTACCAAATATGTGACGCCAACCATAACGCGTATCTCGACGATACCGAATAGAAATTAAATCCCCAAAAAATATATGAATTATACTCTGATTTTTCCAAGTTTTACCTTTGCTATGAAAAAAAATAATCTATTTATCTAATGATTTATTAATAAATAATAGAAAGTTACTTATTTATAAAAGTTTATAAAAAGTCTTATTTTTCATTAAAATTAAAAAAATAAATTTTTTTTATAGAAGTTTTTTAATATTTTAATAAATTTTCAATTTATTAATATAATTCTTTAAAAAAAATTATTACCTAAGATAAGTTGTATAAGTAAAGTCATTATAATAAACGCGTTTGTCAAGACTTGCTGCTGAATATTCCATAATATAACGATAAAAATTACAATCAGGTTTACAGTTACAAGGTCTATTTTTAATATCCAATTCTACAAACGGTAAAGATTTAGGTGACATGTCTGTTCCTGGCCAAGAGGTGTCATACCAAACTGAAAATTTAATTTCAATATTTTTTCAATCATTAATTATGAAAAAATTTGATATAGAATGTTATTGTGTTTTACATTTTAATAAATAAATCGTCTATAAATATAATTATAAAAATAT